ACTGACCCCCCCCCCAAAGTTACTTTTGATCTTCATCGGAAGGAGCGAGCGAGGGGCTGTGCCCCCCGTGTTTACTTTCCCAGAAACTACTATCCTAACTCTGAAAACCGATTCCTCCTCCCAGTGGGAATAGTTGGGGCAAATTCAAAAAATCGACTCCCTCAGCCCAAAGGGCGATGACATCACCATCTGATCCGGGTGCCTTGTGACACTCTACCTATGAGTTTTAGGTTTGTCACAGGGAAGTTTCCACAGCCTGTGAAACACAGCGTCCAGTGAACAGCCTGCCTATGACAGGCATTATTATATCATTTTTCCATTCACTCTGCTCATTTGGAAAGGAAAAAAAAATATATATGTATTTATATATATAGTTTATTTCCTGTAACAAAATTAATGACCCAATTCAAGGAAAACAAAGGAAGGGAGGTAAGAGGCGGTGAGATTTACATATAAAAAGGGGATTGTAGAAATAGGATTTATTTAGTCCTCAAAACAACAGAGCTGGTAAGGAGTCACCGGAGCGCTCTAATGTCTGAAAAATGCAATAAAACCTGAGCCCTTTGCTTCTCATGCTCTTCCACCTCTGGGGATGCTCTGAAGGCCAGTCTGAAGCACAGAGTTAGCCAGATTCACCCTGGAGCAACTCTTGTGACAGAGAGGAACCCAAATTCCAGTGCATCCTTCATTTCCGTGTCCCTTTAGCTCACAGACCAGAAGTACAAGCCAGGTCTGATGGTGACCTTGATTAATTATTAGAGAACTAATTGCTGATGGCTCTCTATGCCCAGGCCAGGACCTCAGTGGATGCAATGGGACACTATCACACCGGTGACCATGAAGCTATGATAACTGACCTCAGATGAGCCAAAGCTTTACTCATTTGGACTTCCATGGAGCAGATTGGACATGGGAAAAATAGGGCTGGGTTTTAAAAGGAATAGGGTAATGTCACAACCAATTGAAATATTTTGAGCTGAATATGGCACTTTGCATGTTCAGTGAACTTCAAAAACAAAAAATGAAGGGAAAAACTAGCATTTACTTCAGCAGGAGAAATGATATGTTTTATAAGAGTCATTCAAACTGCAGGCTTTAAAATACCAGATGAGTTATCCAAGGATGAGGGAAAACTTCCACTAGCACGGCATAGTTATCTACAGGAGTTCTGGGTTTATTTGCCTTTGTTTGAAGCAAAACAAGCTGACCCCAGAAGAGGGACATTCAAATGAGAGTTAACAAGCCCATTTGGGAAAACAGCAAATGTAAGCACAATGTGAAAAAGAAATCAAAGTATTTCAGGGGAGACAATTATAATCGCCTTCTGGATGAACAGATATAAACACATACCCCCTATATGCACTGTATCCGCTATATGCACTCCACTGCCCAGGTATGTGAACACACATGAAATCAAAAAATGGCAACCTAAAAACAGTCATGAACATTTAGGCCTTTTCATCTCAAATGGCTGTAAATAATGTAAAGCAAGAGCAGCAGCTCAGCCAGTGGGCCTTAAAAGTGTAAGGAAATACCATTTACTGTTTCCACTAACATGAGTTTGCAGATTTGGACCAGTTTCACCCAGTTGTTAAAGATTTATATGGGAGGTTTAACAAAGGCCTGTCATTAAACCTTTGGCGCAAGCAGTGCAAAGGACGCTGAGCTCATGTTTACACTAACTTATCTGGATAAAGGGAAAGCTGTTCCTTTAAATCATGTTTGCTGTGACTCTGGAAAGTGAGCAAACTACGTCCGAAGGAAAGCTTCGCTTTCGATCAGAACTGACCTGATAGCAAGCACGAGGACTGAAGGACACAGAGATTTTCAGGAGGACTAAAAAAAAACAGCGCTGATTTGCAAGGTCCTTATAACTCGGGGGAGTTTAGTCCAGATTTGTTGGACATACCTCATCCAGATGGCAAATGAGAGACGGGTTCGGACTCAGGCTGCCAGGTGAGTAAAAACCTATTCTGGGGGGAGGCTGGAAGGGAAATGGTCTGAGGAAGAAACCCCAGGCAACAAACAAAAGCACAAATCCAGTGCCTGGGAAAGAACCGACTTTGCTCGACCAACCAAGTCATCCTGAAGGAGCCCTGAGCAACCCAGACACAGCACAGTAGTGACACTGTTGAAATACTGGCTAACAGCAAGGAGAGAATCAAACCCCACTGGCACAGCTTGACAGGCATAAAAACCACCACAGGGAGGAAGCCTAGTCAGTGGGGAGACCCAGGCTGCACAAAATGAGCATTAATGCAACAAACTAAACAGCAAACATCCCCAAAACCAACCAACCAAACTGTCTCTCTTTTTCCAGGGGCAGGACAAGTTGTGATTTTTCCTGGCAACTGTTTACGTGTGATCTCGCTTTTAAAAAAATAAAGACAGGAAATATGGAAAACAGCCTGTTTTTGCCCTAATGGCAGCCTGATCTTTCCCCTTAGCTGATCTTTCCTTTCACTCTCAGGAGACCAATTGCTGGGCATCCAGCACAGCAGTGAACTCCATCCCAGCAATTATGTATATTTTTATATGCACAAAGCAAACAGGGACTCAAATCCCGTATGAACAAGCTACCTCCTGAGATTTCAAACTATTGACAGATTCTGCTGTTACAGTAGACCTGCTACTTCCAGATCTCGTTGAAAGTAGGAAATTGCACTGAAAGGGAAGAAAAGTTTTTAAAATGTCATTGCTGAGCCTGCAAAAAGGACTAATTGGCTGAGATTCATTTTAAGACATAGACAGATCTTTTACGCAGGTCTGATTTTATCCAAACTCCATTTGGGACTGATAAATCTGATCCACTTTAATACCAACTGTAAACACAGGAGTATGTGTGAAACACCACAGCAACTGACAGAAAAGAAGTGCCTAGAGACAGAGAATCCATTGTCCCACGTTACCACAATTTGGAGAGGACATTTGCAAGACAATCTAAAAGGGTTTAGTTACATAATGACCATTATGTCCGCCTGAATATGTGGCCAATACTTGGGGTTTGTACAAAAATTCTACTTTTGGAAGTAGCTTATTCTGTGATTTCTGTAGGCAATTATATCGTCATCTTTACTGTAGCAGTGCCTTGAGGCATTATTTCATGCTTCCAAGCAGCTCCCCGTGGAAGCAGCCCCATTAGGTCTAAAATAAGAAAAGCTGACAAGAGTCTGTAAAAGCAAAAAGAACCCAGTAACCCAGTCTCCTCCCCCTCTTCTGTTTTCTACCCAAAACCGTCTTTGAAACAGATGTCTAAAGGCAAACATATCTAGCAGGTTACCCAACTAATCAGCAAAACTTGGACTTTGCTTTTCCAAAAGGGGGCCGTTCCTGAAACAACCGCCCCTTCCTCCAGCAACTTGTAGTCAGCTCAAATAAAACTTTAGGAGAACAACAGGGACCACGAGGAACTAGAAATCTAGTGGAAACGCCTGACACATACTCGGGGACAAAAGTGCAGCAAATATCAAATGAAAAAGCGAAAAAGAGATAGTACCCAAACTGGTTCATTTTTCCTTGATTACAGTATTGCGCAAAGGTGCCTGCTCCAGTACGGCTCCCTCATGTCATGCTCTGCACCTATATCGAGCTCCTGCTCAAGGAGCTCACGTGGAAAACAGTGTGAGCGAAATACAGGAGGATTTATACACCACGGCAATATGATTCCCATTGTAGCGATGGGGAAGTAAGACCCAGAAAAATCCCTGCGTTGCCCAAGAGCTCCCAGGGAACTGCAGCAGAGCTGAGAAACGAACCCTGCTCTCATAGGACCAGGATTCAGTGCCACAGTGGTGAGACTCCCTCCCCTCATCCCAGCCTTCTCCTTCCCTGCCTAAAAACTGTGGATGGAGGGGAGAGGGACGGCTGCTGTCAGCGAGAAAGGGCTGAAAGGGAAAGGCCTGCCAACCTTTCACAGCCCAGCCCAGCCGGTTAACGCTGGCCTCCCACTCCAGCCCAGCCGCGTCTGCTGGCGATACGCTGACAAAGAGAATCCGCCACCGCCACCGTCTATGCCCCGTCCGATGCAAGAGGGTGAGCTTTTGCTCTGTGGCGATGCTGGAGAGAACACCGAGTGGATCAGCTTAGCAAAGAAATCAGTTTCTAGCTAACACAAATGCTGCCCTGGAGACAACCATTGGAAACCGCGCTGGCCAAACACTCGCTCTCGTCTACATAGCTGCAGATTTGCCGTTTAAACTACTGGTAGTAGTATTGTAGACTAGGGTGAAGTTAGCAACAGAGCTACGGTTTGGAAGCCCCTGTCTTTGGGATATCAGCTGGTTGCCAAATTGGAGACTTACTGTGGTTGCGCATGCACCAAGAGAGCACTGCACGGTGCCTTTTTTTTTTTTCCCCCTACAGTGCAAAAGTGTCTAGCGCTGTAGCTGGCAAACTGAAGGGAAGTTCATGGGGCTTTGCTTGACGAGCAGTCATCTGCAGCCCAGAATTAGCACCGCAGTTCTAGGGCGGAAGAGATGGCTCTGTCCTGGGAGCAGCAGTCCCGCAGGCTGCCCTAGTGACTACAGGGAGCCCTCCTGGAGGGGTGGGTTGCACTGCTGCTGTGCGTTTGCTGCACTATGCTCCCGACCTGAATTTCCAGAGCTGTCAATCAAGGACTTCTCCTGAGTACTAAAGACACACGCAAACAGCATGTCAGGCTGTAAGAACTGTATCACCTGATAGCAGGTTTGGATTTATCTTGATGCCGTTGACAAGGATAGCCTGGCACAGCGGCACTCTGACTGCACCTGGCATTTCGAACCAGCAGAAACCAGTCTAACGGGATTCTAACGTTTTCACTGACTTCTGGCTCCCTTGCAGCTATGAATTTGCAGGCAGACTCCCCAGACAGACGCTCCTTGCACCCTCTACCCAATGACCACAGAGGGAGGAAAAACTGAGTGCTCTACTATTCCTTGATCAACAAAGCCAGCCCTTTCCTTTACCTGCTTCTGCATAGATACTTTCAAATAAAAAACCCTTTGAGTTCTTACCGCTCTGCTCTTCAAATAACCAGCCGTGCTCATTTCTTCCACAACAAGTGTCTAGTATGCAACCAGCAGATCTAGAAATAGAAGCAGATAGAGCTGGACTTTTTCCCAAGAGCAGCGTTAAGTGCTGTCTGCCCCAGGGACATTGGGTCTGCCTGCCTGCTAACCAGTCTGTCTTGAAAAGCTTCAACCAAGACATCTGCTAATCCCTTCTTCCATGTACCCTGGCATTACTAAGCCTTACTGCTTCCAGTGAGGTGTTATTCCCAGGACATTATTTGTCATATCCTGCTCTCAACTGAACCATTTCATCACAAACTAAACTTTCTATACAAGATTCCTTCAATATGTAGAGGCTGTGACATTTCCGGACAAAGTTTAAGCTCTGTGTTGCATAGTCTTTCCATGGCTAGAAAGCTTCATGTGGTTCAAACGCAAAGGAACAAGGACTGACAGCTCTCATGTGCAACCCTGTAAAATAGGACAGATCAGCTGGCAGGCTGCTGCGGGCCTTCTGGTGCGCTTGCACATTACATTGGTATCTTGTGCTTTGAGGCTATGTCCTGTGATTTGCACTTGGCCCTGTGCTGATGCTTGTGTAGTCCCACCAGCCAAGGAGCAACAGTGACTGGGTTTTTAGTTACTCACCTACCTTCCAGGAACAAGCCTGGAAAACCAAATGAGTTTTAGACCATGGCTTCTTGGTGACAATTTTCACTAGTATCTTCTAAGCAGAAGTAAGGAATGGGATGGCATCAGAGGCAACACCACTTCATAATCAGCAGGAGAGAGGAAAGGGGGTTTCCTCCAGAGGCAGGAGTTCCTGTTAGTACATAGAAAGCTATGTCAGTGGTGTCAGGGAAGCAGGGTGAGTGTTTACACCTCTTACTTTTCAAGACTCTCTCAAAATCTTCAAGCAGGGATATACAGCGTGGCATGTGTGCTAATTTAGGAAAAGGAATAAAAATAAGGTCAGGTTTTTCTTTAATTAGTTTTAACAGCTTACACTGAAAAACAGAAGAGCTTGTAGATTTCCACTTCTGCTCCTCCATACAGTTTAAAAATTAGGTTGACTCTCCCCACACAGAGGGAGAGTGTCTCCACCATGAGATACGTGGAGCTGACAATTATATCTTCGAGCAGTGACTACAGTTATTAGTGGCATTTAAAGAAGGAATGTATTTTTCATCATTATTTTTGACTTGTAAAGTAAAAAAATCAGTAAACAATGAAAAAGATAAATCATTCTGCCAGCAGAAAAAGATGTTGCTATTTAAAGTTATTCATTAAGTATATATTGCTATATATTAGTTAATTTATATAGAGTAGCTGCTATAAATATTCCATTTTTCACACAGAGAAAATTGTGTGAAGGTATGTATCCATTCCTGTTTTATGTAGGTAACCATTTATAAGATGCACTTATTTTGTGTCTGCATTTACACACGTATACTTGCTTCTACCCATAGAAGGCCCCAAGTTGCCAAACTTAATTCTGGAAACATTTTTATATCTAGCAAGGCCAGCTGAGTCATTTTTAGCTGTTCTAAATGTACAGGTTTTACTTATTCTCTCTCTCTCCAAACCCTGTTCACTTAGTCTCATGGTGTCTAAAGCACAAGGCTTTGAAGGCTATATAAAACAAATCCAATGCATTTATTTTTAGTTTCTGAAGTGCTTCTAAAACAGGTTTGCTGTAACATATGTGCAAGACATAAAGGTTTTATTGTCACTAGTGTGTAATGAACTGCATAATTCACTCTTGTTTTTGCTTGCTATAAATAAGGTACCATCACTAAATCATGGTAAAAAAAACATTCTATTACCCTTTTTCACCTGAAAGACTAGCTCAAAATCTGAGCGGTTGTAGTTTGTTTCTGTTAGAAGAACCTGATGACAGAATTCAATCTTATTTATGGGATGCGTGCAAAGTTTCGCTTTCTGAAAACATGTGGAATCCAACAATTTGAATTTCTTTCAGCCAGTGTCCCCAGACATAACCTCAACTTTTCTCTGGCTTCTGCAGTGAAACTCTTTGGTCTCTGTCTCAGTTTCTGGTCAGTCTGTTCCCATGCTCCTCCTGGTTTCTCCACCACCATGCCTTAATCAAATAATGCCTTTGCCTTGCACCTAAATAGTTCAAATACCTGTGTGAGATCTCACGTACCTTTGATTTGGTCAGGCACATGTGCTTAATTGTCTCTTGCAGCTATCTAAGAGGAAGGGTCAGGATTGTTAACGTTTTCAGTGAGGGTTATCCCAACCAGTGACAAAGGAAAGATAAACATATGTATGGACGGGCAGCTCCGGCTCTGATGGATTTAGCTGTGGCAGGGTAAGGTGTTACCGTACCAGCTGCTGCCACCATCCACCCTCCCGATGCAAGTTATTCCCCATGTAGCAGGGGTAGCTCAACAGGACACGTGAGAGGGCCTCACCTTCACCAGTTTAAAGTCTGTGCATTGGCTTAAACCACCGATGAGGCTAAATGAATTCATAGCTACATCTGCTGAGAGCTAAATCTGCCAGAGCCTAGGGCTGAGTCTGTGGGTGTTACTATTCCCCTGACTCAGACAGAAATATCTCCCAATGCAAACACAGGCCTGAGCCTGTGTGGAGCCCCAGCGCCTTGAGCGGGGCCCGCCCGCGCGTGGCACTCCTTAAGGGATCGGCACCCATGTGAGCAAGAACGGCAGCTGATGAGTAAGACCTGCTGCTGGATTTTGGACTGTGCCCCATCCTTAAAGAGCTGTTTTAGCCTCATTATGATGCACAGCGAAATAGTTTACAGATGAAATTCCACACCATTTAAAACAGAAGGGAAGGGGGGGGGGATCAATGTCTAATACTCGAGCAAGGATGTAATGAGGGACTGATGGCAGTGGGAGGCAGAGGTTTATTTTCAGTTTGCACAAGACGTTCAAAATAGTTAAAGCATTTTAGAAAGAAACTGATAAAATGCAGCAAAATAGGCATTCGCTTGTACATTCAGACTGTATCTAAAGAAGAAATACTAAAGAAGCCATGCTCACTCTGAGGGGTTGAAGACAAAACATTGTCTTAAAAGACTTCCGTCTGGTTCATCAAATAGACATGAAAGCTCCATTCCTACATTCAATGTGTAAAACCTTCCAAGAACGGCAGCTGATGAGTAAGACCTGCTGCTGGATTTTGGACTGTGCCCCATCCTTAAAGAGCTGTTTTAGCCTCATTATGATGCACAGCGAAATAGTTTACAGATGAAATTCCACACCATTTAAAACAGAAGGGAAGGGGGGGGGGGATCAATGTCTAATACTCGAGCAAGGATGTAATGAGGGACTGATGGCAGTGGGAGCCAGAGGTTTATTTTCAGTTTGCACAAGACGTTCAAAATAGTTAAAGCATTTTAGAAAGAAACTGATAAAATGCAGCAAAATAGGCATTCGCTTGTACATTCAGACTGTATCTAAAGAAGAAATACTAAAGAAGCCATGCTCACTCTGAGGGGTTGAAGACAAAACATTGTCTTAAAAGACTTCCGTCTGGTTCATCAAATAGACATGAAAGCTCCATTCCTACATTCAATGTGTAAAACCTTCCAGATGAGGTCGTTAAAAAAAAGGCTTACACTAAAGAAAAAAGAACATACGAGAAGGAAGAGAAGACGATACGGTCCTCTCTTTTGCCTTTCTACAGCATAAAAACCCTACAGCCAAGCCAACAACCTCTGCATTGAGCCCAAAACTTTCAGTTGAGCTGTACATAATCTAACAAGGCATCCAGTGTTCATGTCAGAATTTAAGATGATGGCAAAACTAACACATCACTAGAGAACTTATTGCAGTGGTTCGTTACCTTCTGTATTAAAAGCACCTGCCTTCATTCTGGTCTGATACATTCCTTGCATATTTTGTATGTCCACTCAGGCGCATGAATACTGTTATCTTGTCCCTGGTGGCATGAGCACATTAGACAATCACATACGGGCTCATCACCTTCTGTGACTGTGTGCCCCCATATAGAACAACTATACAGTCAGGTTATATTCATACCTGTTATTTCCTGCTTCAAAATGTTCCTGAATTGCACAGCTGGAGATTTCAGCCTGTCTCTAATATAGCAACAAATTAATCAAACAATCTTTATTGCTCTTCCAATCTTGGCAACAACACTGTAGAACATTGGCAAATCAAGCTTTTTTTTGTTGTTGTTGTGTCAAAATCATTAGGTGCTTACTAAGTATATACCAAGTACAGGACTTAAGACTTTTCAGGCAGACAATATACTTCACCTAATTTTAAAGGGGAACCAGGAATTTAATAAAGTAATGGACCCACCAGCTAGCAGAGCCACTTGTCTCATGCTACTGCAGCCCTGTATCACATGGGAGACTGAGTACAGGTACAACCCAAACAATTGCCTCGTGGTGGTAGAGAGGAGCCTGTGGTAGGAATCCTCCCAGAGGCAAAGGCTGCTACTCCAGGGCCAGCACCAGGCACAATAACATAGGTGATTAACCAGGGTGGCAAATTACCAGAGGCAGCAACATTATTGTGATGCAGCTGCCCGCCTTGCTTTGTTGTGCTGGAGCCCTGGAAAACTGCTGCTGAGAGAGGAGTCAAGAAGTGTGGAGCAGCAGGTACTGCAGGGAACAAGCAGCCCTGCCACACCGCTTGCACCCCTCCCGTTTCAGCAACAGCTTAGGCAGCAAGGCTGACTTGCCAGGGCTTTAATACTTCCCACCTCTCCCACCGCTGCCTGCCCTGCTGCCACCAGCGGCAGAACATGCAGCCTGCCTCTAAAGATGCTCCCGCAGCCGGGGCTGCTTGGCGTGTTGTGGGAGGCAGCAAATGCCTGAGCAAAAAGAGAGTGAGGTGATCAACCGACACTAAAATCCACCTCCCACGCCAGGCTTCAGGTTCAAGGTCTGGCCAGGTTAAATCCGTTTGAAATACACAGCAGGCTACACAGCTGCAATCTCAGCTTTCAGGGTGCAACTCCTGCTGCTACATCCTTCTCATCTTCAGTTAGGTGCAGCTGATTAAAAGGCCTTAGTCTTGTGGCACACCTGATATCCCTTGAATCCCTGTCAGCACATTCCCTTAGTGCAGTAGTTACCAGCAGTTAGTTGCTGGCGTCCATAGCCAGACCACGTCTTTTAAATACATCCAGGCCCACCCTCTCAGAGGCAGCGGTGGGTTCCTGTTTCCTACACACATCCACGTGCCTCTGTCCACATTGCTCTAGAAATCTCAGTCCTTTTTACAGTTCTTATTAGCATTTTATCTAATGTTCCCAAGTTCAATTACTCTTGTACGTACCAGCAAATCCGTGGTGTTTGCTGGTAAATGCCATTTTTTTACACTGACAGGTAAAATTTCCAATCTGTCAAATTCCTGGAGGCTGAATTATGTGTGAGTCAAATTGCATGTCTCTCGTGATGCTATACATGCATCACTTGGTTTTACTGTTGTCATCTGACCCACAATCATTTTCCATACAGACTGCTACTTTGGTCTTCTTGAACTACAGGGCAGTACGCTTGCCTGCAAAGCAAATTCAGGTGGGTGGTGACTCTGCAGCAAAACATGTGATTTCAGTACGATATGTGAATGTACTTGGGATGGGCCATTCCTGATGTAAGAAATGACACTGAGCATACCTGTGACGATCAGAGATGAATACCTTCTTCCAGACTTCACTGCAAGAAAGACAGTCCCAGACAAAGACAGTTATGGTCCACACGATACCCAGACAAAGACAGTTATGGTCCACACTTGCTTGACTTATTCATTCTCTGTCACCCAATAGCTTGACTGATCCTGGAATAATTTAACAGTAAATTTGAACATATCCTTTAAACCCATACCTAGTTTTAATAAACCTAAAGCAACTCCAAATCAGTCATACTAGATTCACATATCAGTAAGTGGCTTCTCAATAATTTCTCAGAGTATCAGTTTTACAGTCAGGAGTATTGCTTTCAGAAATAAATTCTCTTCTTGAACGCTTCATAAAAGAAAAAAATATCTATAGTGTTTATTGACACCGCAATAACCAAATGTCTTCCTCACCCCTTCCTCTCCTAGATAACACGGAAGTCTTTCTCTCATCCTCTGTTATATTCACTTCTGTTTAAACATCTTGTTGGTTAAGGTCCATTTGGTAGCCTAACAGCAACTCACCTGTTCAGGACAGACACCCTTCATTCCTGTGGTGGACAAAACAAAAGTGTATCTGGCAAAGATAACTTGGCTGGTTTGACAGTGCCACTAAACGCAGGGTTACATCTTTGAGCTACCCAGCTGAGTGAGATTCGCTTAGTCAAAACCAAAGTTCCTTCTCTGCCAAATATCTTCATAGAAGCCCAACAATGACATCTCTTTGCTTTCCTGTTCACCAGGGAACTGAAAGGGGAAAGCAGTATTCTGCACACCCGTACACACTCACATACACACACGCGCCTCTATTTGGCTCATGATGCCTTTGGAGACTTACGCGCTTTTGAAATTACTCCTCAATGTGGTGAGCAGCTCCTGTGAAAGCTGCAAATCATTTTTGGGGAAGACACCAGGAGCAATTTGTAACAGCTACAAACGATGTCAACATTGTAAAGGTCACAAAAGAGAGACAAGTCTCTTCCCCAGCCTAAGTAACACGGGCCAGGGGTGGCTGTTCAAAGCACATAGGAACTTTGAAATAGAGGATATTGTTACAGATTCATCTCTTTGGCTGGCAAGGCATAACACAGTTTATGGAAGAGAAATGAATGAAAAATAAATGTTTGTTAGAGTTTAGGCTCAGGAAGGATTGTAGGTTTAATACTAATTGTGGTCCAGTTAACAGAAATGCTTCCATTACAGTTGCTAATACAGGATCAAGCCTTTGCGGCTTTAGTCTCTGGACGGGAAGAAGCACAGTAAGAAAGGCGGGGGAAAAGAAATAGCCTGTTCTTTCTTTTCGAGCTGTCCCTAACAGCAGCTCTCTTTATTTTGCTGTTCCACTGAGCCACAGAAACAGAAACAGGCTCAGTGCATCTCTACACCTCAGAGTAATTTACAAACCAAACTCGACACCGCAACCAACAAATGTGTCCTTCATACGCTTCCAGTAACACAGGAAATGATCCCAGAGCAACCACCAGTTCCAAACAGCCCAAAAGTCTTGGCCGAATTGAAATCAGGATCCAAATTAAGCAGCTATGAGCTGAATGCTGTGGTCCAGGTTACGAAAGGAAAAAGCAGACTTTCTCATCTCCCAGAACGAACAGTCCCCCGTACACCCAGGAAGCAGAACGACGCAGGCCCAGGGCATGACTTCAGGCTGTGACCCACCCTTATAAGGATAAGGCTCTCAAAAATCTTGGGAAACACAGTTTTCATACAAGAAGTCCCATCTGACCACCTGGAGTGACCCCAGTGGGCAAGCTGATCTCCCTGTGCGAGAGAAAGGTTTGGGACACACAGGGAGCAGTTCAGAGAGATTGCAGGAGAGCCAGAACAAAAATTGAGGCTGTTACCCTCTACAGTATCTTGTATTGGATATACTGTAATGTAAACCAGCGCTATCTGCAACTTCTCAAAACAGCACCTAATGACTAATCTTTGGTACTATTTTGTGCCCTTCTCTCAGAGAACTGTCAGTTTTACATTCACATTTCCTATATAGCATCTCTTTCTACAATTCATGTTAGCCCCATCAGTCACAAAATCGTGTATGTACTTAGAAAGGCTTTGACAGCTGTAAGAATTTAACAAGACAAAGCCAGCAGCGAACACTTAAGTAGTCAGTTCACGTTTAACCCCGTCTTGCAAACGCAGAAGGACTCACTGCTGTTCTGCTGTCATAGCGGTTTGTCTCCTGGAAATGCTCAGGAGTATTGGCATAGTCCACGTACCAACACACAGCAGAGCGGGACCCCTGCGCTGAAATTCATGTGTCACGGATGAGGATCCATCCACATATGAGGGCAACTCTGGGAAATAAAATCAAGTCTCTGTGCTCCCCATTGCTATGTAATGTTTTCTCTTCTACCTAGCAAGTGTCATGGCAGTTATGGATTTTTCTTCACTTATCTGCACCACAGGAAGGAGTGCTGTTAATAAGTGACAGGAAGCCACCGAGTCCTGTAAAAGGGATTCATTTTTATAGTACGGGGAGCAATACACAGATAACAGACATATTAACGGAGCTTTCTTTTCAGCTTTATTTCCTAATGCATAAGGTTTTCACCCTTAAAAAACAAGAACACAGCCATAACCTCTATCCCCTCTAAATGAACTGGTAATCGATTGCTCACAAGCAATGAGAGGGTGCGGTCACTAAATGAGCAAATACAGTCATTTTCTCAGTAAAATCTGGAGTACTACAATGTGTCACGACAGGACAGTGATATGCACATCAAAGCTACGTTCAGGACGTTTGAATAAGGCTTATAAAGTGTGGGATGGTCTCCTTACTCACAATGATCTCAAAGAAAAAAATCCTGCAAAGCCTTCATTACCCTGAACAGATGATGCACTGCAGTCCCTGAATTAACTAAAACTTTCTCTCCCTTTTTCTACTTTGTTTTGTGTTTGTGTGTGTTTGTTTCCAGCTCTGCCTCAGACAAAGCTGATGGAGTTATGGAGGTTACCTGTCTTCTGCTGCTCCGCTGCTGATGGATCGTCTCAGTTGCCATAGAGACAAGATCTGGAAGCCATGGACAGGCACAGCGGAGGAGCTGCCGGTGGGCTCTCCGCCAGTGGGCTCTGGCAAGGCGCTCCTCAGCAGGTATTAACAGAGGCAGGATCAATCTCCGAAGGTGAGGAAGAGTCACACACACATTACATTGCCATTCAGAGGAATTCCAGGTACTACCGGTCCATGAGGCTGCGGAGCACAGAGAAAAGAAAGACTACGAGAGAGGCAATGACTGTGGGGCGTGTTGCAGGTGAGTACTGACCCAAACAGCATTGCACTTCCTTTTTGACTAGGACTCATAGCAGTCAGTGAGATTAGAAAAGGGACAGGGAAGATCGAAAACGGTCTCGCTGGTCAGCACATTACAGAACGCCCCTGCCCTATGGCACAACTCACAGCTGAGTGCCTCCCTTTTCCGGTCAGCCTGAAAATGTAAAACAGTTGGTTCTTTAAACATGCTTCATGGTGGAAAATCCAAGCAAATCTGGGACTGCGCTCCACCAGCCCTTCACTCTCTAAGGGAGAAATAAGTGAAACAGGGAAAGACATGAGGTAGTCAAAAATGTAGGTACTTCCTTAGAGCGCGGAAAGGAAAAATGATAAAAAGTAGGATTTATAAAAATAATTGCATAGCAAGGTGAGTGGCCTATTGAGGAAATAAGTAGCAAAGACAGAGCAGTATGCTTAGGGATCAAATGCCTGTAGAAATGGCAATGGATTATGAGTGGGGAGCCAGACTTCTCTGAAAATGCAGTTACCGCCACCTTGCACTGAAGATAGTTCTAAGAAACACGTAAGCTCCCCTACAAAACTGGGGGCTGAAACAACAGGAACACCACCCAGAACGTACCTGCACTCAGCCATGGCTTGAACACAAGTTGAACGACGTGGCTTTCTCTGAATACGGACTGTACAGAGCATGGCTACAAGGCTACAGTTTCACTGAGCTGGCACCTTGTCTGAGCAGATGTCTGCGAAAGAAACTGGAGAAAGATGTGAGAAGCTAGAGAGAGAGCCAGGAAGGGAGCTATCTCAACAGACTCAGAAGCCCTGGAAACAGGGCCCCAGGAAAAATTTGAGAGCGGTTTCAATCCAGACACAAAATGAGAGAGATCTGGAACTGCGAAGACAGAAAAGGCCCTTTGCTTATCTCCCAGGTGTCCAGAGACACTGAACTTTGAAGCTCCTTGTAAACAGAAGGCAAAGCAGTGAAGATACCCATCCAATCTTCAGATTTTAATCTAACAGAAACTACACACCAGGCTCTGAACCTTGGCTAGTTGCATGGCTCAAAAAGAAATAACAATATTCCAGGCATTTTGAGTGCCAAGCAAGCCACCGACAACTATTATTTTGTTACGCAGTAGTAAAGCACACTGCTTCAGTCCCTGAAGGGAGACCAAGTTCTCTAAGAAAACAAAGAACAGATATCCTCCACCTCACAATAAAAGCAGTCTGGGACATGCCCCCAAGCAAATAAGAGTCTCCTGCCTGCCTAGCCAAGGGAGCCACGGTGTTTCATCAGTAAAAAGGCCCATTCAACCCTGTGGCATGGAGAGAAGGGAAGTTCCCTCCCTTCTCCAAGTTTCCAGACAGACAGCACCAGAGCAAAGAGCTCCTGTTTAATATTCTGCTACTGTTGTCAGTGAGGTTTGTGGATAAACTGAGCGTTGCCTATGCCAGAGCAGATCTGCTCTCCACCCTGCCAGTGCAGCAGTGGGACCAGCGCAGAGCCGTTCCCTCCGTGCTCATCCAGAGCGCTGCTGCGGAGCAAGCGCTGAGAAGACTCGCCCCGTCGCCTGCTCCCCGAGCGTCACGGCATCCAGACCGCTGCCGGGGCGGCCCTTCTCCCCTCTTGGCCACTGGTGCCACTGCAGCAGGAGCAGCGCTGAGGGAAGCATCTTACTCATATGTCTGCAGCGTCACCGCTCCAGGACAGGAGGACATCCCTCCTGTCTAGGCAGTGTCATTGAGGAAGGACAAGCTAAAAGAAAGCTTCTCTCTTAGCAGCTCCTAAGAGCATCCATAGCAGCTGACCTGCGCTTCTCTCCCACGCACCCCCTCTCTGTGTTTCCACTGGTGAAACTGGATCTGTCCCAAACTGGTTTTTCTTCTGTATCTGCAAATGCTTCAGTCCATACAACAGGACCTTCTAGAAGCAATAGCTCTCTCTCCAGTATGACTGTAGCAAGTCCAGCTCAGAGCAACAGCTTTTAAATTCAGCTAGGACCGTGTAAGCAGCTCTCCTGCCTTCTCCCTCTACTCCACCGATTCCATCCCCTCTCCCAGAAACTGGACAGCAGGTGCTTTTACACCAGCCACCTTTGTAGCAGGAACCTCTTCTGACAGCATTTGCTGACGTGCATGGAAACAAGGGATGGGTGAGCTCTTTTATCTTGACTTCATACTCATTTGAACAGCAGCTATCCAAGAGTCTGGCTCAAGCTCAAATGTTAACCTGTTGTCATTTTGCTTAGGAAATTACCTGGGGGGGAGGAGGAAAGGAGAAAGGAAGAGAGGGAAAGATACAGGGGAAAATGCAGGATAGGATACCAAACAGGGGAAAAATAAAGACTCAAGAAGCAAGAACAGGAAAAATAATCTAAAAGAATGTAAATCCAGCAGAGAGAAAAGCTTCTATCTGGGCACCCTTTGCACCAGCCTACCTCTGGCTCGTAGCCTAAGAGTTGTAAAAAATAATAGATGCTTTCCTTTAATTATAAAAAGAGTTTGTTTTTGTAAACAATCTCCTCTGACAGGAGGATAAAATGTTTAGCCTATTTGAAAGGCAAAGAGAATAACTCCAACTAGTGTCTCATAAGCCCCTGGCACTGCTTTAGGGAGTTAGAAAAATCTGGATTTCACTTTTTCCTTCTGAACATCAGTAGCAATGATTAAACGGGCATGTCAGAAACCAACTTCAGGTAGAGCTTTGACTTGCCCATGCTGTCACCAGTTTGAAATGGAAGCAGAATTATGACTTGGACCAAAATATTTATAATACAACAACAAGGTCATTTATCGACAGGCTGCAAACAACAGGAGGTTTCATCTGGAAAGTGAGATGCATCCCCTCCTGCCAAGGACTGCAGTAGTAAGCCATGGACTTAGCACAACTTTGGCTCCCTGTGAAAGGATCAGAGGTTCATTTGAGGGAAAGTGGAGAAGTGATTAAAAGTAAAGCTCCTGTCTCACCCAAATCTAGGCTTGATTTAGCCAGTAAACTGAACATCTACTGTATTCTTGAAAGCAGAGACTGTATGCTTGAAAGCAGAGCAGTAGTAAAGTCCTAACCTGAGAAACCAAATATTGGCATGCACAGGCACACAGGGCTAAACCTTTTCTCCTTAAAGAATTGCACTGAAAACTGTTAATGCTGAGGCCCAATTTTCAGTGGTTAGAAAGCCACTTGCACATATAAGAACCGATACAGTAAATCCACATGCACCTTTCCTTGATTGCACACGCAGCTGTGACAAAGGCTGCATAATCACGCAATATGCAGGCTAATGGCATTTAAATCTTGCTCAAAAATCAAAGCTCAAATGCAGACTTCTGTATGTCTGTGGTCTTCCTGTTGCCTTCTATGCAAGTAAACCACTATTTACAAATTTTTATTTATTTATTTTACTTACAAGTAAAGATGACCCTTTGAAAAAGGACTCTTTTAACTCCCTCTTGGCTTTCTTTTCTGTCACAGGTTCACTCAAAAATGATGAGCCCGTCAAAGAGCCTCTGGCTAAGGAGGTTTTATCTCAGAAGGGATCGGCACCTCCAGTAAACGCTGATATGAGAGCTTTAGAAGAACTATGGATCCAAAGGTAAGGAGGCACCTGCTCAGGGTATTCACTATGCCTCTGCTGAAGAATATAGGTAGAGTGGCATCAGAGCAAGAAAGCTTGTTTTTTTTTTTGAAGAACAGCTGGACTAAGCTATAGCTATTGATCTACGCCTTCTCACCCAGACTTGTAGTGCTATTGTCAATTTTATTTTAATGCTGTATATCATATAATACTAGAACTGTGGTATAAAAGGCCCTGTATAAGGTTGGAGAAGAAAGAGAAGGAGAAGCAGGGGAGAAACAAAAAGACAGCGGGAAGACTGAAAAGAGGGGAAATGTGACGCAGAATCACCCAGTGGGGTAAGCAAAGACACTCTGCTGAGTGCCTCAAGCAGCTTATTGAGAAAATAAAGTCTGCAAGCACTTCCTTAGGCAACACCCTACTATAAGGCCCATTCTCAGCCTTCAGGGAGGGCTCTCCTGAAACGTTTTACAGGCCTGCACACAGAAAACAGCATTTTACATCTGAAGAAGTAGCTACAAAGATGTTTTCTAAAGCATTTTTGCTTTCTGTTTGCTGTTAACGTTCAAGAACTGATAGGCAACAAAGGCCTTCAGTGTGGCTGTCTTTTTTGGCAGAAATCCCTCAACGGCCTAGGTTCAGCAAAAGGCCCTGATCCCATAACCAGGATACTGCAGGGGAAGGGGAGGGTGGCAGACTCCGTACCAGAGGTGAACTGCTGCTTTGAGAGGGCGCAGGCACAACTGACAAATACAGGCAAGGCTTCCGTATAGAGTGGAAATCCCAGTTGCCCTCTCTCAGATGCGTTACATCTAGGGAGCCAGGCTGCTCTCAGTACACGGACAAGAAATTTATCTGGACCCCCGTGCTCTCCTGCCACTGCAGCCACGCGGAGAGAGGAGAAGCTGCCTAGCCGTGCATTTTCTCATGTAGGCATTCCCCCAAGCTCCCCCTCATCTCTTGTATGTAAAACTGTGAGATAGTCCCTGTTTCTTCTGTAGAAGATCAAGCTGAAAGCGTTAAATACTTGCCCTCTAAAGGTGCGTGTATTATACTGCATTGCGTGGTCCTAATTACTGAGTGCAGCTAGTGCCTTTCCAGGCACCTTCCCTTATGAAGAGGACTCCAACAGAGAATTTTAGCCAATCTGTCAAGTCAGATTTAAATAAATTAATTGTCCTGGCTGAAATTGATTGCCCTTTGGCATTAAACTGAGCATATGAAACTAGACAGCTACAGTCTGCTGAGATGTCAAACCCATCTGTCTTCCTCTCCTTGCGGCATAATCATCTCTGTCAGACTCTGACATCCTGACACTGCCACTTAGCCAGCTCTGAAACGTGCAAATTCTGATTCTCCCTGGAGCTGGAAACAATGAGCCTGCGCTGGGAGCCAGTTTTATCAAACATGCTGCTGTGCACGGAGCTTGACAGGTCAGTACAGGTTGCAAGTCATGTGTCTGCTAAAAGCAGGCAGTGCTGCTGAGTGGCATCGTCTCTTGCAACTGAGCAAAGAAATTAGACATGGAACGAGACCAGAGTTTTAGCTCAAACTGAGCCCATATCCTCCTCTTCCTTTCTCCAAAAGACCAGCAGTAACTTATAGGAGAACCACTAGAAATTTGCATTGTGAAAAGCCTGCAGGAGCCTAAGGGTATTGCTATTACTTCCAATAATCACTATTCTCCCCATTTTGCAGTGGAAAACGGGCCATTGCACAGATAAGACATCTAAAATATTATCCCTGGTCTCAAGAAATGCATTTAATCTCTGTCCAAAAAAAAAAAAAAAAAGCTACCTGGCAGCTAGGAGATCTTCTGAAGAAGGGAAAGTACAGGCACCTGTGGACAGTGCTGGGGAAGGTCCACGGGTCTCTCAAGAGAGGATCGCCACAGCCCTGAGGCAGGCAGGGCGCTGCAACTCTTTTCGTTCAACAGTGTTTCGTTCAGCAGCTGTACAAATGCTAAGGCTGGGCCTGCACGATCCCTTCTCCTCACATGAAAATAGCCAGTAGGTCTGACAAGAACGTGTTGTTTGCAAGCAGAGATGTCATTTCACATCATATACACATGCTACGTAATTTAGGACAGGAAGGAAAGAGGGCAGGAGGAAATAGCAAACAGCTCAGTAGAAAGAACGTTTGTCTGAATTGCACTCAGATGGGATACGGGCTTTAGCACTCTGATCAGGGAAAAGCACCACAGGCTTCCTCAAACCCAGCAGTGACTTAGCTCTACGTCTCATCCAAAGCTCTGTGAATGTTCTATAAAACTAAGTAAAAATGAGATAAGTAGAGTAGTTCACACTGACTTCTGAAAACTGTACCCTGCGGTTTTTCAGATTACTTCAAATGAAATTGCTGGTGTTACAGAGCAGTGTCTATTTTCCAGGGGGTCAAGCATAAGAGTCTAAGAACTACCTCAATAGACAACAGAGGCTCTAAGGCACAGAAGAGCCAAAATCTGCCACATACTCTCCGCAAGATACTTCCTAAGAGCACCTCTATGCCTAACTATTCTCAAACGAGTTTTTTCCCCGTGACCTTTCCTATGCTGTGCCCGGCTCCCCCGAGCACTCTAGTATCAAAGTTCCCCACAAGACCCCTTGGCTCCCTCCCAGTTTTCCACATTGTACAAAGATACAAACCCCTCACGTGATGAGACCCTTCCTGACAACTCAGCTGACTTGCCCTGAACATTTCAGAGCTGAGCTTCCAGCACAACTTCTGGTTTTCAGAGTAACCAGAACCAAAGACCTGGAAGAAGCTGAGCTCAACAAAAGCTCTTTCCCGCAGTGATCAGTCCGTCCAACTTGATAGCGGCAGGAACAGTGCAGATTGAGATCACAGAAAACCATCAGAGAAAAACATCCACCTAGGGTTTCCATCCACAACTGTCAGCCCCAGCTGAAAGCGGCTCCCACAGAGATCAGCAAATTAGTCATTTTAAACCCTAGGAAGGAGATTCACCAATCGTTATCTACCCTCTGTTATCAGCAAATAGGATGTTGACGTCTCTTCATATCTAATTCAATACAGATGCTTTTACAGCATGACTGTATTATTTACCTATCATTTCCCACGGAGGCAGATTTGAGAAGTGATACGTATTCATTATGGGCCACTAGATACAGTGGAAAAGAAAGTCAGTGTGAAATTTCATGTTGCAGAGCTCACTTCAAGGTCATTGGTCTAACAGTACAGAACAATTTATTTCTCTAGGCTGGTTATGAAACCTCCAGTTCAGAGAAATGAAGATCACCTGAAATCAGTTGATTATGTTTGATCTGAGCTAATAGAACAGAACTGCTACAACAGTGAATGCAAACAGTTGCCTCCAAGCGAAAGAGGGAATCTGATTTGTTTGAATTCATACAAACACCGATACTAGAGACACTAGTCATGGAAAAATAGCGTAACTGGAGGATGTTGGCATGAATTTGGGTTAGCTTCCCACAGTGCAGCACTATTTGTCCTGGGCAGCAGAGGGCACTGCTTATATACGCTGATTCAACCAGAAAAGCAGAGAAAGCCTCTACAGAGGCCGAGATCTGTATTGCAAGAGGTCTTATACCATACGCAATCAGTTTCTTTCTACTTATGGAATACATTTCTTATTGTCACCTGTTCTCTGTGCTGCCAATGGTGCTTCCGCTTGCAAGTGGCGAAGTCATGCAGAGCTGGTGCAAATACATGTTGATCAAACCTTTCACTCCATAATAATTTATTCCTCTTTTAGAGATAGATAAATAATTCTTTTTTATATCCCTCTTTTTGTACCATCTGCCTCATTCAGATATACCCTGACCATACCCAGGTCCTCAACCAATCTGTTTCCTCAGCTTGTACTTCCCCCACTCTTGTTTCCTCAGCCTTACCATTTCCCAGATACATTATTCCCCTCTCTTCCCTCTAGCTGCTCATATCTCAGTGTCCGGCTGTTCCCCAGACTCTTCACCCGTTGGCTCCTCGTACAGTCTTAGTCTCCCATCCCTCCTCCTGGTTCCAGCGCTACGTTTTAGAGTCCTCTCCAGCTCCCCATTTACTTAAGCATCCAGCGGTGGACCAGGTCCTCTCTTCATAGCAGGTTCCTGTCAGTACACGCTCAGGTCTTGCTCCCGCTGCTTTTCAGTCCAGTGGTTTTCTCCCTGTGCTGCCTGGACCCAGCATCAGGATCACTGAGGATACAGCAGAAACAGCCTTTACTCACAGTGCCTAGAACCATACCAGGCACTTTTTACAGCTACAGCATCAGAAATGCTTCACTCAGCCCTGGATAGACACATTTTCTCTAAGGGCAGCAGCTCAGGGGTTTTAGATCCAAGCTAAAATCTAAGTCTACGGTTTACGTGTGTCACGTAGAACACAGAAGGGCTTATAATTTCTACAGATTTTCGCAGGTGTGCCAGAGAGGAAGCCCTGGAAACATTCTCAAAGGACAGAACAGCAGGTTTTGTGTTTTCGTTTAAATTTGGATCCAATAATATTTTCCTAAGCCTAAGAAATGGTTGAGTCTTTTTTATAAATAAAAAACAAGGAACCTACGGCAGACAGTCAGCAAGTGAAGTTCCAGCTATAACGATTTTGAGAATCAAAATGTTAGAAGCACCTAAATGTGAGGTGCTCATAATAGGAAGCACTGAGCATTTTTAGTTATAGGCAAGGCTGGTAGCCCCAACGGATATAATTAAGGTACTTTGGTGAAGGCTTAAAGAGGTTCGGGAGAACAGATGTGCCCTTGGCCTTTGTGATCTAAAAACGTTAGAGGAGTTCCACTTATCTCACACGGAAAAGTCAAAACCAGGAATAAAAACTGTGCAGAGACACCCGTTGTCGAAAAGGCTGCTAAAAACACACGTGTGCAGAAAGAACCTGAATGAACCTGAAGTATGAAAATATAGTTGACTAGGTACAGCATTATTCAGATCTATTACTGACTTCACACTTCACCACAAATTTGGTTAGCTCAGATTAAAACAGTTCTTCTTACCTCATCTTGTGGCCTTTCTCAGTGTGAAACTCCCACTGAATAAAAGGGTTTTGGGAATTTTTCATGAATAAGATCTGCTGGACTGCATCTTCTCTTTTTAGTTTCTGGAAGCGGAGTTCTAATTTCTAAAAACTGCCATACGAGAACATAAAAAGATGCATTTCAGCATAGTTTGAAAGCAAGCTCTTTGCACAGTTCTATTCTAAGGATTGCTTTCAAGTTTAGATGCACAGAAGAAATCTTAATTCAAATAGTTACTCATTCTTCAAAATTATTAGCGCCTGAAAATACAGGAGAAGTTTGGACATTCGTCCCCCAAAAAAACTTAAGTGAGATCATTGTAATAAACTAATTGTAAACTCACACCAATTATCACATTTTTAATGCAGCCACGCACCAGGCCAGCCAACATTTAGAAAGTTTTCCACCAGCAGCACAGCGAAGCTGGGAACAATTTGCAACCGCACCATCCCCCTTCTTCCTTTGCAGAGCGTGCAGGCGCTCACACCCTCTCTCTCCTTCGCCCACAGGGAACTGAACATTGTAACCCGAGCATGACCATCATTAAGAGGTCATGAGGCTGGTTTCATGTGTGCTTTGGGATCCTAAGAATTCCCGAGAGAAAACTGGCCTTTAGTCTGTCATGGTGCTGCAGGACTTCTGCCACCAACGCGAGCACAAGGCACGTAGTCCTATCTGCTTGGGGCTGGGGCAGGAGCTTTACTCGTTTGTTCTGCTATAAGTCGTTATAGGAGTCAGATTCTTTCTTTCTCTCTTCAGCTAGACAGGAAATTTTAGGAGGAAATATGGAGGTTTTGGCCAGAAAACTCTGATTTCGCATCACGAGATTTTACTGATTTTGATGATACTGGGTAAAGTTTTTTAGGCCCAGGATCAAGTATATGTTAATACATTGAGAGACAAAGGAACCCCCTCTCCCCCAAACTCCTACTCAAATGGTTAAGACCAGGCGGAGCGGGGACTTCTGCCTGAGCCTGCAGTTCCACAGCAGTTTAAGATGATCCAAGGCTGCACTGCCTTGGTCCTGCCATCCATCGGCACGCCTGCCACCTCTGCTGTACTGGCGCTCGCATTGAGCTAACCCTGTAGCGAGGCAATTCAGGGAGCTGATCTCGCACAAAGCTAGTTCTACAAAAAAAAATGAATCATTTTCCACCAGTTTAGCTGCCTGAACCAGTTCACCAAGGGTGAGATGAGCACAAGTGCTGGCATAAAAGTGGAGGCAGAAATCTGCCTCGGGGAGCAGAATGAAAGGTGGAATTGAGCAGGTAGGTCAGCTTAAACTGAACACAGAGAAAGTCCTAACAGCTGCTGAAGAAGAGAAGGAAAAAGAGGCACCTACGCTGGTGCTATTCCATTTAGTGGAAATAGTTCAATAGTTACTGACCCAAAGAGATACCTGGTGAATAACTCATTCACCTAGAAGGGAGAGAGAGAGACATGTTCAGGCACCTGTTCCAGTGACCAGAGAGGGTGGAACAGCTCCAAGAGGAGAGACTGATCCACCCTGGAACAGGCAATAGCATGTAGGATGTGAGGGAATGACACAGCAATGACTTCAACCTCGATCTCCCACACCCAAGATGAACATCCCAGCCACCAGGCTGTTGCGAGAGAATCGCTCGTTTGCCTTCCTTCATCTTTCCTGACAAACTCGTAAAGCGCTCTGTTTTGTCCCCAAACAGAAAAGCAAGCTTTAGAAAAATCTCAACAGTTTTTGCAAGACAAAAATATATGCTTTGCACTTAGTATCATTTTTTTACTCCAACCAGTCCCAGGGTGCTGGAAGCACTCCGTCACCTCACTTGGGAGAAAAAGGACTTCTCAGGCACTTGTTCTGCTTACGGAAGTTCTTCTCTGTATATCAGCGTGAGGCATGAGAACGTGGTGTGAGCCTAGAGAGGAAGAAGGAGCAGCATTTTAGAAAGACCAAATTCCAATTTAAAAAAAAAAGTTCTAAAAGGAGAAAAAGTAGACTATTAGTCATTGCTAAACAGTGGAACAGATTTCTGAGATACGAAAACACAAGCTGTGACCTCCCGTGGCCACAGGGGGCATTTCATTCTCAGCTTGCGCCCTCACCTCCTCGTAGCTTCCAACATTTTTATTATCATTATTACTTTTACTGACATTTCAGGTTTTCATCTCAGACCAAAGGGGAAATACTTTAGAAAATTTGAAGAAAAAGGAAAGACAGGCAGGATCAAATTAACAGGCAGTTACAGGATCCTAAAAAGATGCTTTCTATTTTTGAATGTTTTTCATACCCATGCCCCAGGCACTTTTTAAAAAAGAAATCCCTATTTGCCACAGATTTAACCCTTGAGAATGAAGTTATGCGAGGAGTTAGACCGTGTTAACCTCTTAATGCATATTTCTAAAAGATAGGTCTAGCAGGACACACAAAAATTATATTTAGGTATCTCTTGCTTCTAGCAGGGTCAGTAAGACCTTATGCCTTGGCTTCCCTCAGCGTACGAGGAAGAACTCCCTGCCGCTCTTGGCCTGTCTCCGCGTAAAGTTGTAAGCAGCATCGCTGCCTTTCCAGAAGCGAAGCTAACGGAGAGGCTCAGCGCAGCTAATAACCTCCCTCCTCTTCAGAGAAATAACTTTTCTGGCATCCCACCCACTTACTAAACCCCCTGACAATACTCTTGCCCTGGCAGCCAGCCACCAAGCTGTCAGTCATTAACCAGCACTCAGACAAACCTTTCTCTCGCTTCAGATAAGTCTCTAGGGCTTTATCCCTTTTACGAGCTTTCAGTCACCTGTCTCCCCCGGCCCCCGGCCCCAGTGTTTAACGGCCTCATAGCCACGCTTTCATACCACACCGGCCATCTAGGTAGTGACGATCCCCCCCCCCGCAGCTCTCACGCTGTCCTCCCCCTCCTCGGTCAGTGACAAAACAGGTCTCACCCTGACAAGACCCCTGGCGTTTTGTATCGGCCGTCTGAGCTTTCCGACGGGACCGGGACTGGACTGGACTGACGGTCCTATCCGAATCGTCAAATCTCTCCATTAACGTTCCCAGCTGTTTTTCTCTCCTCTTCTGCCTCTTAATGACACGAGGTCTGAGCTCTTGCAGTGTGCCAGATCTAGATCTAGTTCACATAAGCTGAGGGAGTTTTCCTGAATATATAGTCATGTGCCAGCTGGAATCGATCCTGATGCATCATTTAGCAAACACGGTATGAAAAAGATAAAAGGGAACTCATTTTACATCTACAGATCAACATATGGATTTTATGTTACTGCATAAATTACTGGAAAAAAAAAAACAACCCAGTTGCATGTTATTCATGCAACAAGGAGAGAGATAATAGGAGAAAGAGCTGAACATTTTGACTGTTTAACTCCTGAGCTGCAATGTGGTACAGATGACGTTTTCTGCTGGGGGTTACTAAAAAAAAGGGAAGAGCTGCACCCAACCTGTCCGCAAGCACTCAAACTGAGCAGAGGGTGTAACTGTACTCCAGAGCGCAAGAGGATTTATCCCCGAGGCGGAAAAACAATTACCTGAAAGAAGACAGAATTAGACCATTGAGTACTGAGATACTTACTGCCTAAATGAGAAAACATATCCTTATGGAAGTAGCGACGCTAAGGAAGGGGAGAAGGGGGAAATGACCGAGTGGGTCCAAAACCCTGCAGAGGAGGAGAGGAGGAGAACGGTCGGTGCTGCGGGGTCACCCGGGGTGCCGGAGGGAACAGGCTGAGCCTCCGCGTTACCTTCCTCCATCTCAGGGTTTTATTCCCGGAGGGAGAAACGCACCAGATCTGGAGGCAGCTCCGGAAAGGC